AAAAAATTGAAATTTGGGATAATGAAATTAATGCATGAATACTTTATTTTGAAGTGAAATTGACAGACGAAACTTTCAAGATGGCGCCATCTGGGAAAAAAAATTATTGGAAAAGGGGGTTTTGTGACACATCATTTCGATGCTCCTGACGAATACTACACAACCCTAGAATATAATGTCAATATCTTCAACTACTACAAAATGGCGGAACTTTAAAAAATTGCCTGAATACATTGACATTCAACTACATAATATGAGGTAATAAGCTTGAAATGATTGCCTTGAACTTTTGACATATGAACAGCCTATCCGATTTTCACACCGAACATTTTCGAACACAGTAATAATAATAATAAAAAACTTTATTCACCGTATGAGTACAGAATATAAATAAATGAACTACATGATAGAGTGGGAATAAAGACTTGAACGATAAGCGCTATTGCACCTTGTTTCGTTATTGTGTAACAAGGAGTATAATTTATAGACTACGCTACAAGACAAATAAAATGTAACATAAAAACAAAAAACAAAATAATTTGAAAAGACATGACGGTATAAGTTGACACAAAATATAAATAAAACGATAATAATAATAATAAGATTCGTGCAGGGTGCCTGTTTATGGTAACAATGAGTATAATTTCTAGAATACGGCACAAGACAAATAATATAAAATAAATAAAACAAGGACATAAACCAATATATGTTGACAGAATGTAAAAATAATAATAAGATTTGCATAAAATTTATATAATGTGACTAGAGTAATATATCATAATTGGTTGGTATACTTTTTATTCTAATATAATTATCGCATATTGTCTTTGTTTTTCGAATATGAACGATTTCAGATTCTTCATGAAAATTAGAGTGCGGTAACTGTTTTTAATTTTATCAGGAATAATGTAGAATTTGGTTGATGTGTATGAAAATGCTCTTTGTGAAATTGACTTTTTCAGTATGATAGGATACGGTATTTTCTTGTAATTTCTTGTATAGTAACTGTGATGTTCTGGTTTTATTTGATTTCTGTTGGAAATGTATTTGACGAGTACGTTGTAAAAAATAAAGCTGTCTAACGTACATTATTTGACATTTCTTGTATAGTTCGGAATATAGGAATAGCGATTGTTTCTAAACATTATAATTTTAAATATTTCCTTTGCAAGATTTCTAACGGGTTGAGATGGGTACGTAGAGCAGCTCCCCAGGCTACAATGCCATATTTCAAATGACTTTCTACCAGCGCATAATAAAGATTTTTTAATTCTTTAATGGGCAGAAATCTAAATCTGAATAGGATTGTCTGAAGTTTCTTGATGACATACTTGATATGTAACGTAACGTTAGTATCTCTACAAATATTTATTATTCTCTGCCGTATATCCAATATTGAAGCAGGTTCATTTAAGTAGAGGAAGGTTGCCTAAATCGTACCTCTTTTTACATTTTTTTTACACCTTACAGGGAGAACCTGTGCAAAAGTACCGTAACCCTAAGAAGTATTGGTTATTTAGACAGGTAAATCAAAATTTTAGTATCTGATATGGTGGTAGTAGACTAAGGTGAATCACTTTTTTGCAATCGGTACGATTTAGGAAACCAGTTGCCCAAATCGTACCTCCAACTTACCAAATCGTACCACATTGGATAAAGTTGAAAATGAAGTGAATGAAACAATGAAATGGCAAGAATGGTTGAAGAAACTTTTATTCAATGCAGTATTTTCCTATACTTTTTAGATACAAAGTGTTTCTCTTGGTCTGTGTTTTATTAAGAACTAGATACAATTTGAGCAAACAAATTTCTAAATTTTTGCTTTTGAGCCGACACAACTTTCGTGAAACCATTTATCACAAAGCATGCACTGCACCATGTCCTCGATTGAATGTTCCTCACAAACCGAGCAAAACCAATCTTCTGGTTTCAATGATGATGTCACTCTGGGCAGAAGTTCCAGCTTGGTTTAAGATTACTAGATTTGGATCTGTTTCTGAAACGACAGCCTTCTTTTGGTTTTTTCTTATCGGTGTCTCGGTCACTTTCATCTCTTCAGATAAAGGCCGTATTTTCATCTGGAGCTCTTTGACCTTCTCTTTAGCTAATTTCAGCTCGTGGCATACTTCAATTTCATTTTTTCCTGAGAATAAAAAGTGTTTCAAATTCGTTGCTCATCAGGAGTATACTCAAATACAACTTGAGTATCAGCAACAAAATAGTTGAAACCGATCGGCCGATTTTGATTTTTTTTTCTTTTTCATCGTTCTTGCTATCTTGAAACTGGTTTTCCTGAGAATAAAGTGTTTCAAATTTGTTGTTCATCAAGAAGTATACTCAAATACAACTTGAATATCAGCAATAAAATAGTTGAAACCGATCGGCCGATTTTTCATTTTTTTTTCATTTTCCTCGTTCTTGCTATCTTGAATCTGGTTTTTCTGGGAAGAAAAAATGCTTTAAATTTGTTGCTCATCAGGAGTATACTCAAATACACCTTGAGTATCAGCAACAAAATAGTTGAAACCAATCGGCCGATTTTTTATTTTCCTCGTTCTTGCTACCTTGAAACTGGTTTTCCTGAGAAAAAAAGTGTTTCAAATTTGTTGCTCATCAGGAGGTTACTCAAATACATTCCGAGAACCAGCAACAAAATAGTTGGCCTAGATCGGCCGATTTTTAATATTTTTTTTAAATTCTCTGTGTTCCTGCTATCTTGAAACCGGTTTCAAAATTCCGGTTGGTTATGTTTACACATAGCCAAACATTGCTCAGAACTATCAAGACGTTCTTGTTTTTGGTCAACAGTGAGCTCGCGCGGAACCCACTTTGAACAGAGCTTTCTCATAGTAAAATGTTCTTGCAATATATGCCAACACGTTCTTTTGACATCTTTACAATGTCAGCTAACGTTCAATTGCTGTTGCTGATGGAGCGGAGTCCTTATAACACTTTCCAAGCCATTGCTTCGCTTGAACGGTATTTTTTCCCATCAAGAAGCAGTGTAAAATTAAAACCCGAAATTGTTTTTGATCCATTGTTTTGAAAATAACAAAAGTAGAGTCACTCTAAGCACAATAACTCACAAAATCATAAGTAGAAAATCATGAAATTTCAACAGCTTTTTTTTGAAGGTTAGTACTAACTGAAAAATTGTTGATTGCAATACGCCATCTATGTGTTAGGCCCGAGACTTTTCAGCCCATGTAGTAAAACAGACATACTTTTCAAAATCTCTAAAATTTCCCCGGTGGATCTGAATCTCTTTGTCAATCCACTTCGTCACAAACCAACCGGGAAAAAAGAAAGATTCTCCTCAATAAATGCGATAATGGCTTTTTGTTTATCCCCTCGCTCTCAGCTAATTAGTTTTTGAGCAGCACGTGGTGTTGACACTTCGTGTATAGGGACGGACAAGGGGGAAATACGTGAGGNAAGCGATGCAATCGGTACTATTCAGGAAACCAGTTGCCCAAATCGTACCTCCAACTTTCTAAATCGTACCACCTTGGATAAAGTTAAAAATGAAGTGAATGAAACAATGAAATGGCAAGAATGGTTGAAGAAACTTTTATTCAATGCAGTATTTTCTTATACTTTTTAGATACAAAGTGTTTCTCTTGGTCTGTGTTTTTTTGAGAACTAGATACAATTTGAGTAAACACATTTCTAGATTTTTGCCTTTGAGCCGACACAACTTTCGTGAACCCATTTATCACAAAGCATGCACTATACCATGTCCTCGATTGGATGTTCCTCACAAACCGAGCAAAACCAACCTTCAGGTTCGATTTCAATGATGATGTCACTCTGGGCAGAAGTTCCAGCTTGGTTTAAGATTACTAGATTTGGATCTGTTTCTGAAACGACAGCCTTCTTTTGTTTTTTTCTTATCGGTGTCTCGGTCACTTTCATATCTTCAGATAAAGGCCGTATTTTCATCTGGAGCTCTTTGACCTTCTCTTTAGCCAATTTCAGCTCGTGGCATACTTCAATTTCATTTTTGTAGGGGCTACTGGTTAATATAACTGCTTTTTGCACTTTTGAATTAGATCTGAGTTTAGATCCATTTCTCTATTTGGGTGGTTTTGGAAGTGGAGACATTTCTTCGATCGAAACATTCAGTTTTGGAGTTAAACTTGTTGGCCTGTTACGTGAGGTTACTTCAATATCAAGAGTCTGATTTTCACCTAAGCGAGTTTTCTCTTGATCTGAACATTCACGATTCTGATCTAAAGTTGTGTTTTGTTTTATGCTTCCACTCGTGGAAGCATAAAACGGCTGATTGAAACACTCAATATTAGTGTTAGTTTTACAAATTATTAATGAATAATATCAGTACGTACCTTGGCAGTCACTACGTTCTTACGAAAAAGTTTCCAAAACACTATCAACTAGCTCCAAAACAGGAAATATTTCACAACAACTCAAAGAGTAGCCGCACACGCCTCCCTCAAACACAGTCTCGACACTACAATTAAGCAGTACTTGCTGGCAGTACCGCACGAACGCTGTAGTCACTTTATTTCGTATTAAAATTAATGTGGTACGATTTAGGAGACGGTACGATTTTGGCAACTCTCCTCTACATCTTTGCCTTCAGATAGCCCCATAAAAAAAGTCCAAAGGTGTCAAATCTGGCGAGTGGACTGGCCATTCTGTGAGACACCTCACAAACATTCGCGACGGAATAAGTAGACTGTTCAGGATTTACTACCATCTCACCAATCATTTGCACTTGCTGTTCATCCGGAATGGACGGATGACCTGGGGGCTTTTTGTTATGTACACTACCGGTTTTGTGAATTTGGATACAAGTTCCCTTAAATATTTTCTACAGATAGAACAATTCGGAAAACGTTCATTGAACATTCTTTCGGTCTCGTGAGAGTTACGCGTCACACCGTAAATGAAAATCGCTTCAATTTTTGTTTCCAATGGACAAGAATTGACCATTTCAGAGATTGTCGACGTGGTATCTTTCTAATAGTAAAACCGAAAACTAAATGAGAATATTCTAACTGAACAATGATGTTCATTGTCATACTGATATTTTTTGTCGTTTTTATAAACAAAAAATAACTTAAAAAACCTCATCGGGTTGTTGAAATTGCCATATGGCAGATAAAAAGGAAAATTTCTAGAAATATCGATATTAATGTGTTTTTCTTCAGGAAATTATTAAATGTTCCGCCATTTTGTATTAGGTGAAGATATTGACTTCATATTCTATGGTTGTGTAGTATTCGTCAGGAGCTTCAAAATGATGTGTCACAAGACCTCCCTTTCCATTCAATTTTTTTCCCAGATGACGCCCAGTCGCCATCTTGAAACTCTCATCTGTCAATTTTACTTCAAAATAAAGTATTCATGCATTAATTTCATTATCCCAAATTACAATTTTTTCAGTTGACCCGTTCAATAAATAAAGGGGGGAACATTAAAGAAATGTACTGTAGATTTTATGACATTTATTTACTTCGATGATATTTACTAATAGAAGCGCATTTAGAAATTAATCTATAATCATTGATCTATTTTGAGTAAGCCCCAATAAATTTCCCAGTGCTGGTGAAGCACCCATGTTAATTGAAAAATGATCTTGTTAACTTACACAATAAGAGTAGTTTTTCTTTTTGTTGGAAGACCTTCAGTTCAATCTGTGCCAGAAAGAGCAAGAACGGACTAACTAAAGGAGCCTCATTTACCTTTGATATTTGTGGATTGACTCCACAAGATGGCGTGCAGAAGAGTTTCGTAAGGACAAATATCGTCTTTTCTCACTCAGGCTTATCCTTTGAGGACAGTTGAGTCCAGCAATGCATTCGTAGTTCAGCCCAGTACCACTGATGAGACTCATGGCAGAGCGAAACAGCTGGTATTGGATCACGAATGCTTCACTTTTGGGTACTGCTTCCAAATTAAAATGAGTGTGAAATAAAAATTGGTTCATTTTACTGTACAAAACAAAGAGATGATTATTTGCAAATCGGAAAGACAACTTTGTGAATCAATTGGTGTAGATATTTCACAATATGAAACCTTCTGAAATATGGTAAGGTGACGTTGAAAGGATCATGGCTATGATCAAACAGTTTGCGAATGTTTGATTATGTTACAGTTTTTCCTGAAATGTAACTGTCTCATTTTCAGGACTTGGAAAAATATGAAAATATCAGCAAAAATCGAATTTTCAAATTGAGAAACACATTATTGTGAAGTGTTCACTACATAGATTTACAAAAACGCAACACGTGTACCCCTATACAATGTTTCTTCAGGCTGTATAGAGACGTGTCTATACAGTATAGACACGCCACCATACTCCCCAGACCTATCGCCAACTGACTAGTGTCATCGGTAGAACCTTCGTCAATCAGGACCTGGTAAAAACAGCCTTCTTCGACTTCCTCGAATCCTGATCAAACAATTTTCATGCTGATTCATACCTGTAAGTATCTCCTATATCTCCGACCCTGACGTACGGATATTATACGGCGTAAATGGGGTGGAGACAACTAGTGTGAGTATGAGTGAGCGACAAAAGTCCCTAATTTGAATAACTGTGTAAACCAGAGGGTGGAGCGGACATGGGATATGGCTTGCTTCCCCATTTTGGTATACTTTGTATAAACGGTAAAAGGGAATATACGGGATCACCTTAATAATGAATGTAATTACAACGGGTACAGGACCGAATTACAGAAAATCATCAACACAGTTTGTCTCACATGATCTACAAATCTCCATTAAATCTCTGATCAAATGTAACTCCAAAATCTTTTGTGATTTAATACATGATCAGTGAAGTTGATTCTATGGTGTATTCAGATACCATCGATTCGTATTTTCATGTGAAAATTAATAAGCTGCATTTTTTGACATTAACCTTCAAATTATTGTTGCGGTACCATTCAAGTATGACTTAAATATAGTTCGGTGCAATCGATTTCTGTTATGAGATCACTTATGAAAAGGAGGACTAACAAAGGTCCCAAATTTGATACTTGAGGAACTCCGGATGAAGGAAAAAGTTAAGGTCCACTCGCTCGTAGAAGGTCGTGAAAGAATGACGATTAGGTTGTTGCAAAAGTTTTGTCCGTTTTAATGACATGTGTTTCTGTAGCTCCATATCTCAATAAATATTTATTCTACTTTGTCGTGGTATACAGGTTGTTTATTAAACATGCGGCAAAAATGTAAGGGACTATTTATTGGATTATTCGAAGGATGTTTTGTCCTTTGATGATTTTTGTTAGGACGTTTTGTTTCGAAAATGCGGAGCGAAAAAGGATCTCGACAATAACAATTATTACCAAAAATTACATGTAAGGTTTCTTAATCTACAAGAACTGTTGAAAATGACTACCCCCCGCTTGGAAGCAAGAACCCAGTCTTCTCCTCATCGACTCCCGAACTCTTTTAAAAACACCAGGATTGCTTCTAATTGCGTTACACCCAGCAAATTGAATGTCTGCAGCCGTTTGTAGTAATCGGAATGTTGTTGATAGGTACCAAAGGAATTGTTAGATTTTTTATTACTTGGTAGGTCCAGTGTGGTACGCTACAATTTTATTTTGGCTACGTTAGTAATTTTGAAATTACCAAAATTGTCATTGTCGAATCATTTTTCGCCCCCTATCTTCGAAACAAAGCCCCTTATCAAAAATCAGCAACGGCCAAAATATCCTTAGGATAGTCCAAGGAATAGTTCCTTGATTTTTACCGCATGTTCAAACACCCTGTATATTGATTGATAGATAATTTTGTATTCTATACATTGATGCTGATCATTTTTCCGAATTTGATTTTTCCGACTATTTCAGCTTCTTGAAACATGAGGTCGTTAGGCGATTTTCGGCCAATTTTTCCCTACAAACTCAAATTGAACCAAAGCGCTACCGAAACAGACCGAAAATCAACCAGGCATTTGACAATACTAGTGTTTGCGAAATTGTAGATTTAAGCTTCGGAAATGAGCCCCGAAGTGGTCGACCTAAAGTAACCTAGGACGAGGATTTGAGGATCCTTGTGAAAACTGACCTATCACAAATGGTTCTTGGAATGGCGTTAGGTTAGGTTGAGTGGGTCTATTCGACCCGCCACCGCAACCCGCAAGGGTTTATTGTGGCTCACACCTATTCACAACCGACTAAATAAACCCAGCTTCTTAACGAAGCCGATTAGTTTGTATGGTGAGTGGTCTTTCAGGTCAGATGGTAAGAGTACGGCTCTGCCGACCTCTAAAAACCTGATTCGGTCCCCAGCGGACAGACACAAATATATGCTCTGTTGTTTCATCATTTTCTAAACAGAGGCGACACACACTGTCTTCCGAAAGTCCGAGTCTCTGCATATGATGATCCAAATGACAGTGACCTGTAAGAAGGCCTATTAGAAATCGTAATTAATCCCTATTGTAGTCCAAAAACTGTTTGGTATCAAGCTTCGAAGGGTGAATAAACGCCTTGAAGTGAGCCAGAAGTCCATAAATCTTCTTGCCATCCAGGTGTTCAATGTTTGTTGATGCCAATGACAGGTTCTGGACCGATGAAGCTGCTTGCCACACCCTCCTCTGCAAGAGAGTCAGCAGTCTCATTGCCTTCCAGGCCAATATGGCCAGGAATCCAGACCAGAGACAATCTGTTAAGTCTTCCTATCGAGGAGAGTCGTTTTTGGCAATTTGCCACCAATTTAGACGTTGCTCGGAAAGAGCCAAGAGCTTCCAACTCCACTTGACTGTTCGAGAATATTTCAATTGACTTGTGTATGAGGTTGGATTCTCCCAATCTCTTCGCACACAATTAAATAGCATAAATTTCCGCTTGAAATACAGTCGCATAGGTTCCTAGGCAGGTTGATATCTCTGTTCTGGGTCTGCCACTGAAAACACCTGAACCAGAACCGGAAGGTGTTTTTGATCCATCTGTGAACCAACAACCATCTGCTCTTAATATTTCCTTCTCCCGGAGGATCCAGTCCTCTCTACTCGGGAACAGTTCTTTATAAGGTACTTCGTAGTTGACAGTTGGAGGCATGA